GCCCGGGTTCGATTCCCGGCGGGTGGAAACATTTTGACACCTTTCCTTACACCTGTTGTCCTGTTCACCTAGCAGCAAATAGGTACCTGGGTGTTAGTCGACTGGTGTGGGTCGCATCCTGGGGGACAAGATTAAGGACCCCAATGGAAATAAGTTAGACAGTCCTCGATGACGCACTGACTTTCTTGGGTTATCCTGGGTGGCTAACCCTCCGGGGTTAAAAATCCGAACGAAATCTTATCTTATCTTATCCTCACCATGTGAAGCAAGAGCTATAGCCACCAGGCCATGGGACAATTATAGAGGCAATTATAGGGAGAAATGCCGTATAGAGAGAGTAAAGGTAATGAAGACGGGGTCAAAGAGGTATAGAGTCGATTTAAAAATGCAGTGTTGGAAAGTTCAGCAAGGGTGGGTAGTGAGGATAGGAGGGTGGGTTGGGATAGGAGGGTGGGATGGGATAGGAGGGTGGGTGTGGGATAGGAGGGTGGGTGTGGGATAGAGAGGGTGTGGTGTGGGATAGGAGGGTGGGTGTGGGATAGGAGGGTGGGTGGGTGGTGGGGATAGGAGGGTGGGTGTGGGATAGGAGGGTGGGTGGGATAGGTGGGTGTGGGATAGGAGGGTGGGTGTGGGATAGGAGGGGTGGGGATGTGGGATAGGAGGGTGGGTGTGGGATAGGAGGGTGGGTGTGGGATAGGAGTGGGTGTGGGATAGGAGGGTGGGTGTGGAGAGGGTGGTGTGGGATAGGAGAGTGGGTGTGGGATAGGAGGGTGGGTGTGGATAGGAGGTGGTGTGGATAGGAGGGTGGGTGTGGATAGGAGAGTGGGTGTGGGATAGGAGGGTGGGTGTGGGATAGGAGGGGTGGGGTGTGGGATAGGAGGGTGGGTGTGGGATAGGAGGGTGGGTGTGGGATAGGAGGTGGGTGTGGATAGAGAGTGGGTGTGGGATAGGAGGGTGGGTGTGGGATAGGAGAGTGGGTGTGGGATAGGAGGGTGGGTGTGGGATAGGAGGGTGGGTGTGGGATAGGAGGGTGGGTGTGGGATAGGAGAGTGGGTGTGGGATAGGAGGGTGGGTGTGGGATAGGAGGGTGGGTGTGGGATAGGAGGGTGGGTGTGGGATAGGAGGGTGGGTGTGGGATAGGAGAGTGGGTGTGGGATAGGAGGTTGAGTGTTGGAGGGTAGGAGCAGTTGATGCAGATGAGGTAAAATATAGAGTACAACAGGAGTGATTTAGTGCAAAAGTAGAACCAGAGAGATAGAGGGTGAGGTTTTATCAACAAATTATGCTGAGAATAAGAAAAGGTTTTGGATTAAGTTAATAAGTCGTGAGAGCCTATATAATAAATAGATTTAACAGTTAACCAAAGAGGGGAGCCATTAGGAGAGCGGAAGGTACTGGAAAGTTGCTAAGAATATGTTAGGAATTGTTAAATGTTAATGAAGAAAGGGAGGCATTGATTTCATGTATTGGGCAAGGAGATACAATCTCTTGTAAGTCAAAAAGAGCCAGATGTAAGTGTAGGGAGGAAGTTGTGAGGCAATGAGTAGACTGAAAGGTGTTAAAGTAACCGGGATAGATGGGAGCAAGATAGAAATGTTGAAGGTAGGTGGGGATATTTTGGAGTGGTTGGCACATTTGTTCAACATTAACATGAAAGGGAGAGGATGCCAAAAAGATTGACAGAGAGCATGCATAATTTGGGACAAATAAAAATCCAGGAGTTATTTGGGTAATACAGTGGACCCCCGTCTAACGATCAGCTCCCAACTCGACCAATTATGTAAGTGTATTTTTGTAAGTGCTTTTGTAGGTGTATTTTTGGGGGTCTAAAATGGACTAATCTAATTCACAATATTCCTTATGGGAACAAATTCGGTCTATAACGGCACCCAAAAAGACTTCTGGATTGAAATAATATCGTTAGGCGGGGGTCCACTGTACACTCTTTAAGTATGTATACGTATACTGAGTAGTAAAGTGAATAGTAGAGTTGTTGTTGAAGAATTAAGGTAAAACAGAGTGTAGGATTGCAGAGGAAGAAAAAGATTTTAGAAGGGGTAAGGGATGTGTAGACCAAGTGTTTATGTTGAAGCATATAAGTGTACAATGCTATACTAAAAAAAATATAGGTAAGGAACTTTTTATTGTACATATTTATAATTTAGAGAAGGCATATGATAGAGTGGCTAGGGAAGCAGTGTGGCAGATGTTGCAAATGTATGAAATTTGTGTTAGGTTACTAGAAGCAGTAAAAGGTTGTTATGCAGATATTGAGGCTCAGGTTATGATATGGAGGAGAAAGGGAATTATTTTCCAGTAAAAATAGGCATTTAAAAGGGATGTGTGATGTCACCATGGTTGTTTAAAATATAGATGTGGGTTATAAAAGAGGTGAATGCTAGGGTGTCGGGATGAAGTATGGGATTAATAAACAACAAAATTTAATATGGAGTGGGAGTTGTCACAGTTATTTTTTTTTTGCCAGTTAATGTTCTTTTGGGAGATTCTGAAGAAAAGTTGCAACAACTGGTAGAGGAATTTGTGAGGGTATAAAAAAGAGGGAAATTAAGAGTGAACATAGATAAGAGTAACATAAAATCTAGGCAGTGAGAGATTGGAGGGAAGGAGTATGAAGGAGGCACAGAAAATGTGTTCAGATGTTTGGGAGTCAACTTTTAGTAAATTGGTTTGTGTAAGATAAGGTGAATTATAGAACTGAAGAGGGAAAAAAGATGGGTGGTGCATTGAGGCATTTTGTAGAGACCAAGAACTTTATCTGTGGAGGCAGAAAGAGGAATTTGCTAGAATATAAGGGTACCAACACTGATACAGTGGAACCTCAAATATTGAACTTTCTTCTGTCCAGAAGGCTGTTCAAGTGCCGCTACCGAACAAATTTATTCCCATCAGGAATAATGTAAATTAGATTAGTCCATTTCAGACCCTCAAAAATACACTTATAAAAGCACTTACAAAAATAAACTTACATAATTGATTGAGTTGGGAGCAGTTAAATTTTTGAGGTTCCACTGTATATGGGAGTGATAATGCCTAGGCATAATAGAGGCTCTCTTTGCACTGCAACCCATTATTGTAAATACATAATTTCAATGTACTACGTGCAAAGAAATAAATAAATTTGAATTTAAAGCACGAGGTCTTAAATTTTACAGTGAAAAGAAGGCTGGAGAAAATAGAAATGTCCTGTTTGAGGGCATTGTGTGTAATGAATATTATGCAGAGAATTTTGATCTTAGAGATTAGAAGGTCCGGGGTTACCTAAAGTACAGTGGACCCCTGCATAACGATCACCTCCGAATACGACCAATTATGTAAGTGTATTTATGTAAGTGCGTTTGTACGAGTATGTTTGGGGGTCTGAAATGGACTAATCTACTTCACAATATTCCTTATGGGAACAAATTCGGTCAGTACTGGCACCTGAACATACTTCTGGAGTGAAAAAAATATCGTTAACCGGGGGTCCAGTGTATTATTAAAAGGACTGAGGAGGGACTGTTGAGGTGGTTTTAACATTTAGAGAGAGTGGAGCAAAATAGATGACCAGGAGGGTGTATAAATCTAGGGTGGAGATAAAGTGTAGGGGTCATCCCAGGAAGGGTTGAAGGGAAGGATTAAAAGAGGTTTTGAGTGCCAGGGGCTTGGACATCCAACACATTTGTGTGAGCATGTTAAACAGAATTGAGTGAAGGCAAGTGGTTTTTATGACTTGATGTTTTGTTAGAGTGTGAGCAAGGTAACATTAGTGAAGGGATTCAGGGGAAAACCAATTAGCCAGATTTGAATCCTGGAGGTAGGAAGTGCAGTGCCTGCACTCTGAAGGAAGGGTGTAAAGGTGAGTAGTACAGTGCCTGCACTGAAGGAAGGGTGAACGTGAGGAGTACAGTGCCTGCATTCTGAAGGAGGGGTGGTGGTGGGAAGTACGGTGCCTGCACTCTGAAGGAAGGGTGAAGGTAGGAAGTACAGTGCCTGCACTCTGAAGGAAGGGTGAAGGTGGGAAGTACAGTGCCTGCACTAAAGATGGGGCAGTGGTGGGAAATACAGTGCCTGCACTCTGAAGGAAGGGTGAGGGTGGGTAGTACAATGCCTGCACTCTGACAGAGGGGTGAAGGTGGGAAGTACAGTGCCTGCACTCTGAAGGAAGGTGAAGGTGGGAAGGTACATGCCTGAAACTAAAGATGGGCAGTGGTGGGAAATACAGTGCCTGCACTCTGAAGGAAGGGTGAGGGTGGGTAGTACAATGCCTGCACTCTGACAGAGGGGTGAAGGTGGGAAGTACAGTGCCTGCACTCTGAAGGAAGGGTGAAGGTGGGAAGTACAGTGCCTGCACTAAAGATGGGGCAGTGGTGGGAAATACAGTGCCTGCACTCTGAAGGAAGGGTGAGGGTGGGTAGTACAATGCTTGCACTCTGACAGAGGGGTGAAGGTGGGAAGTACAGTGCCTGCACTCTGACAGAGGGGTGAAGGTGGGAAGTATAGTGCCTGCACTCTGACAGAGGGGTGAAGGTGGGAAGTACAATGCCTGCACTCTGACAGAGGGGTGAAGGTGGGAAGTACAGTGCCTGCACTCTGAAGGGGAGGTGAGGATCTTCTTGCTTGGAAGGCTATCTGAACTGTCATGTCAGATTGTTTCTGGCAAGACAGTAATTGAATAAGTGACGGTGAAAGCGCTTTCTTCGTCACCTACTTTGGTGGGAGACAACTGACATTTTTAAAAAACCACTGCATATGCTAAGGTTGTTAATTAACATTATACATAGCAATAACAATACATTGATCACTTTTGAATATAATAATAATAATGATAATAATAATAATAATAATAATAATAATAATAATGATAATAATAATTATAGTAAATGCTAACAATATATAGTAATACAATAGAATATATGAATTTAGGGTAAAGTCTGAACTCTCTGTGATATATATGAATGTAATTTATTAATAAGGTGGCTCACTGTAGCATTACCTGACAGAAATGGATGTGCAACATCGGAGGACCTCTTCTGGAAGCTGGATGCTTTGCAATCATTTATCCGTGACCTTCACTGGCCTGACCATGACTTTGCAAAACACCTGGAGCAGAGATTAAAGGTACGAGATAACACTCATTTTATAACAGACTCTGGTGGCTAGGTTCAGCTGCACACCAATGGCTTTGAAAACTTAAGAAATGAATGTACTCATGTGTTGGTGATGGGAGAGGTCAAGTCACAGTTCCTGGCTCCACCTCTTCGCTGATCGCTGCTAGATGATGAAAGGAGGAACTTAATATTTGGATATTTGAGAGTAATCATATACAGGATGGCCCCCATTTGTATGGCTCTTAGTTTCCCAACCCCATACAATAAGCGGAAGTCACCGATGGGTGGAAAAGAGTGGTTTTTTCATTATCGAATGTGTCTAAAACACCTGATAACAAGTGTACACTATCATATATTAAATGCTCAATACAGCTAGGCATGAAAAAAACATGGCACCAGTCGTCCTTCCCTTATGCAACTGTTGCGCAAAAATGGCAGAAAAGTGGTAAAAGCACCGAACATAACAAACAAGGACTCAGTTGACAGCCTGCAGAAATATGGAAAACCAAAGAGGTGCTGAATATGTGGGGCACTCTTGTACAGTACATTAGAATGATGAGAAATACATCAACATAGTTGAACAGTACACAAATGTAACACAAATGAAAAAAATATAATATGATTGGAGCAAAGAAAGCCACTATCAAGCCAAGGCATGACGACATTTTGGTCCAACTTGTTAATGGTCCAAGTCGGACCAAAGCACCATCATAAGTTTAATTCTCCTGTGTGCAAGTTATTTATGTAATAACTTACAATATAGCACAGTGATGAAAAATAAGAAGTACAGTGGACCCCTGGTTTACGATCAGCTCCCAATGAAATAATATCATAAACCGGGGGTCCACTGTATTAAAATGAACAAAGCATTAGTAAAATAACCCGGCCATCTCCCTCTCCCTAGGAAATAGTGAAATATAAATATAATTTTTTTAGATAAGTATAGCAAATTATTTTATTTTAAGCAAATACAGTGGTACCTCAGGATACGAACAGCTCAAAACTCGAACAGTTATGTAAGTATTTATGTAAGTGCTTTTGTAAGTGTGTTTTTGGGGGTCTGAAATGGATTAATCTAATTGACATTATTCCTCATGGGAACAAATTCATTTGGTATCAGCACTCGAACAGCCTTCTGGAATGAATTAATTTCATATCCCGAGGTACCACTGTATTAGCAAGGTTACTCGGAAACCATAGACGAGGTATGGATGGATCTGAGAGCATTACAGAGTGAGCACGGGTGTTTGGAGGACATAATAATGGATTTTTCAGAGTTTATTGTAAGAAAATTATAGTTAGAAATAATAATTTGTAAATTTTCCTAAATGAAAAGTTAATTAAAGTTAAAAGTAAGTGAGGTGATAAAACAAAGTTGGTTCTAAGGTGCAGTTTAACTTGTAATGTTTCTAATAATTAGGTTATCCTTTATTATGAAACTTACAGAAAATAGATGCCCATGCTGTAACAATATTTATTTTCTAAAAAAAACACACTGGTGGTGTTTAAACCCATGAATAACAAAAAGGCACAATACCGTGACTGGACCAATACACAAATAACCCACTCATAGGACTTTGTAAATGGTCTAAGTCGGACCAAAACATTGTCATGAGCTCCTCTCTCCTATGTGCAGGTTATTTGTGTATTAAACCCATGGCAAGCTAGTCACAAAACTCCAGGCCATTATGTAAGTCACTGGGCCAGCTGGCTATTAGTTCAAACCTCACCCATTCCGTGGTTTATGTGCAGTCATGTTATTCTGATTTTGAGAGTCATTTATGTTCTAATCAATACTCAGATGTTAATGTAATTCTCTCTCTTGTGCCAGTTGATGGCGTGTGACATGATCGAGTCGTGCATTACCCGGACGGACCAGGCATTCCAGCAGTGGCTCAAGAAAGGCACTGGCTTCGTCTCCACTGACTATGTTCTCCCTTCTGAGATGTGTGCCATGGTTAATGTTATTCTGGATGCCAAGAACCAGTCTTTCAAACTCTGTGCCGTTGATGGTGTTGATGTGGTTAGTGTTCAACCAGACATATACACATACATACATATATACATGCATACATACATACATATATACATACATATGTAAAAAACACTGTGAAAAATAGTGAATTTCCACACACTTTCATTTTAATGTTTGAGGAACATAACCTGTGTGTACTAATAGCCTTGAAAATTGATCTATGTAAAAAACAAGAGTTTTCTTTTTAGCATCAATACCATACCAAGATTGACGACCTCATCGAGAGAACGAGCAGCTCCATGACTCAAGGAATGGTCGCTAAGCTTTTATCAGTATTAGAGTCGGTCATCTCTAAACTAAGCAGATACGATGAAGGAAGCTTCATTGGATCAATTTTATCATTTACGGTATGTGCTGTCACCAGCATTATCTTAATAGCGAATACTGCGCAAGAGAAACAAAGTGAAAATTAAGTAGAATACATTGTAATAAATATATGTATAGAATCTGCTGTTGAATAATTTTGTGTAATATAGTAATATGTTAAATTCTGATATAAACATTGTGCATATTCTTGAACATAATCCAAAAATTATGTAAATGTTTGTTAAAATCTTTGAAGGTAAATTATATAACATGTACTATTATAATTTACATTGATCAGATAATTTGTTCCCACATAAAAAAAACTGTCCTAAATCGCTCAAGAAAATTATATGCAATACCGTAGGATTTCTAATTTTATGGACAGTATTTATTTCATATTTTTGTACTGTGTACATTTTTGTACTGTGTATTTTTGGACTGTGTGTGTGCTATTTTTCAGTACCAACAGAATGTGAGTGGGTCTGGAAAGGAACTAGGCAAGGCCTATATTAATTTTGCAAGAAATTCCATGGATCAGATCAGACAAAAAGTTAATGACGAACTCTGGATTCTTAATTTATTTGAGGTAAGTTACTACAATAGATATTAGATATAGTATACAGATAGTTGTTGACTTATGACTTATCCTGCTTACGGCCGTTTGCATTTACGACCATAATTGAGGTTCAGACATGTATGCGCGGAGCCCCAGACCGACATAATGAGATTAGTCACGAGGGAGCATTCACCAAATTCAACTTCAATAACAAAAACATAAAGTGGGACCAAGTAAACCAAGTCCTAACCGATATAAGCTGGGAAGATATACTAAGCAACACAGACCCCAACTTATGCCTAGAACAGATTAACTTGGTGGCACTCGATGTATGCACAAGGCTTATTCCTCTAAGAAAAAGGAGGAGTAGATGTAAAATAGAAAGAGACAGGCGCTCCCTTTACAGGCGACGGAAAAGAATAACAGAGCAGCTAAAAGAGGTCAATATATCTGAAATGCATAGGGAGACACTGGTCAGAGAAATAGCAAGCATCGAACTTAAGCTAAAGGAATCTTTTAAGGGGGCAGGAATCACGGGAAGAACTAAAAGCCCTAAATGAAATCGAAAGAAACCCAAAGTATTTCTTCTCCTATGCCAAATCAAAGTCGAGAAAAACCCTTCCAGTATTGGGCCCCTACTTAAACAAGATGGGTCCTACACAGATGACAGCAAGGAAATGAGTGAGCTACTCAAGTCCCAATATGACTCAGTTTTTAGCAAGCCGCTAACCAGACTGAGAGTCAAAGATGAAAATTAAATTTTTTATGGGAGAGCCACAGAATTTGGTTAACACAAGCTATCTGATGTTATCCTGACGCCAAATGACTTCGAACAGGCGATAAAAAGACATGCCCATGCACTCTGCCCCAGGGCCAGACCATGGAACTCGTGTTCATCAAGAACTGCAAGAAGCCCCTATCACGAGCCTTTACCATCCTATGGAGAGGGAGCATGGACACGGGGGTTGTCCCACAGTTACTAAAAACACAGAATAGCCCCACTCCACAAAGGGGGCAGTTAAAGCAACAGCAAAGAACTACAGACCGTAGCACTAACATCCCATATCATAAAAATCTTTGAAGGATCCTAAGAAGCAAAAACACCACCCATCTAGAAACCCATCAGTTTTCACAACCCAGGGCAAATGGGTTTAGAACAGGTCGCCCTGCTGTCTTCTCAACTATTGGATCACTACGACAAAGGTCCTAGATGCACTAGAAAAACAAAAAGAATGCAGATGTAATATATACAGACTTTGCAAAAGCCTTTGACAAGTGTGACCATGGCGTAATAGCTCACAAAATGCGTGCTAAAGGAATAACAGGAAAAGTCGGTCGATGGATCTATAATTTCCTCACTAACAGAACACAGAGTAGTAGTAGTCAACAGAGTAAAGTCCGAGGCAGCTACGGTGAAAAGCTCTTTTCCACAAGGCACAGTACTCGCTCCCATCTTGTTCCTCATCCTCATATCTGACATAGACAAGGATGTCAGCCACAGCACCGTGTCTTCCTTTGCAGATGACACCCGAATCTGCATGACAGTGTCTTCCATTGCAGACACTGCAAGGCTCCAGGCGGACATCAACCAAATCTTTCAGTGGGCTGCAGAAAACAATATGAAGTTCAATGATGAGAAATTTCAATTACTCAGATATGGTAAACACGAGGAAATTAAATCTTCATCAGAGTACAAAACAAATTCTGGCCACAAAATAGAGCAAAACGCCAACGTCAAAGACCTGGGAGTGATCATGTCGGAGGATCTCACCTTCAAGGACCATAACATTGTATCAATCGCATCTGCTAGAAAAATGACAGGATGGATAATGAGAACCTTCAAAACTAGGAAGGCCAAGCCCATGATGACACTCTTCAGGTCACTTGTTCTATCTAGGCTGGAATATTGCTGCACACTAACAGCACCTTTCAAGGCAGGTGAAATTGCTGACCTAGAAAATGTACAGAGAACCTTCACGGCGCGCATAACGGAGATAAAACACCTCAATTACTGGGAGCGCTTGAGGTTCCTAAACATGTATTCCCTGGAATGCAGGCAGGAGAGATACATGATTATATACACCTGGAAAATCCTAGAGGGACTAGTACCGAACTTGCACATGAAAATCACTCACTACGAAAGCGAAAGACTTGACAGACGATGCAACATCCCCCCAATGAAAAGCAGGGGTGTAACTAGCACGTTAAGAGACCATACAATAAGTGTCAGGGGCCCGAGACTGTTCAACTGCCTCCCAGCATACATAAGGGGGATTACCAACAAACCCCTGGCAGTCTTCAAGCTGGCACTGGACAAGCACCTAAAGTCGGTTCCTGACCAGCCGGGCTGTGGCTCATACGTTGGTTTGCGTGCAGCCAGCAGTAACAGCCTGGTTGATCAGGCTCTGATCCACCAGGAGGCCTGGTCACAGACCGGGCCGCGGGAGCGTTGACCCCCGGAACTCTCTCCAGGTAAACTCCAGGTACACCTGGCAGCACAAATGAGGCCATGTGATAGTGATTCTGCGCGTCATTGGCAACATCATGAACACGTCCCCTCATGTCTTTCTTTCAGATATATAAAGACTATAAAATTCGTAATTACAATACCTATCTGACTTGTGTCCAATGCGACTTATAACTGGTCAGTCAGGACCTAACCCAAATACAATTTTTTATTTCTTTGCAAAGGTTGCAATGTGTGATTTACATTTTGTAGTGTTGTTAAGAACGTCTTAACTAACATGCCGGGGCATTTCAGGCAGACTAATACTAATGCCTACACACTACAGTGGACCCCCGGTTAACGATATTTTTTCACTCCAGAAGTATGTTCAGGTGCCAGTACTGACCGAATTTGTTCCCATAAGAAATATTGTGAAGTAGATTAGTCCATTTCAGACCCCCAAACATACACGTACAAACGCACTTACATAAATACACTTACATAATTGGTCACATTCGGAGGTAATCGTTACGCGGGGGTCCACTGTACTTAAAACCCAGTCGTAAGTTGACGACTATCTGTACTTATTGCTTATGATGATCTTTAAGAAGTGATTCCTGTATTAATGAAATAATTCACTTTGTCTGACTTTTTTGGGTTATCCTGGAGGGTAATCTACACATATACTGCTATGTATGATAATTCATGTAACTGCATTTATGTGTACCTGTACCCAAATAAACTTACTTAAAAAAATGACAATCTTTTAGGTTTGGTGGAGGAATTTGTCTTCAAATCCTTCCTTTCTCTACTGTCTTTCCTTACTTGTTTCACCTTATCTCTTTTCTCCTTACATTGTTCTCATTCATCCTTTTCTCACTCTTTCATTCTCTCACTTTATAGAAATAAAGTTTATTTATTTTATGTTTGTATATAAATAATTTTATTCAGGATCAGTACTGTATTCTGTTTTATTCTGTAAAAGTACAGTGGAGCCCCGGTTTACGATCAGCTCCCAATGCGACCAATTATGTAAGTGTGTTTATGTAAGTGCGTTTGTATGTGTATGTTTGGGGGTCTGAAATGGACTAATCTAATTCACAATATTCCTTATGGGAACAAATTCGTTCAGTACTGGCACCTGAACATAATTCTGGAATGAAATAATATCGTAAACCGGGGGTCCACTGTATATTCATTTATTTATTAAAAATATTAAAAATGCAGTATTAGAATGTGGGGCAGAAGTTTGTGGTTATAGGAGGGTGGGGGCAGGAGGAAAGAGGAGTGATTGGTGGAATGATGAAGTAAAGGGGTGATAAAAGAGAAAAAGGTAGCTTATGAGAGGTTTTTACAAAGCAGAAGTGTTATAAGAAGAGCAGAGTATATGGAGAGTAAAGAAAGGTAAAGAGAGTGGTGAGAGAGGTGCAAAAGGAGAGCAGATGATAGAGTGGGAGAGGCACTGTCAAGAAATTTTAATGAAAATAAGAAAAAATTTTGGAGTGAGTTAAACAAGTTTAAGAAACCTAGGAAAATATGGATTTGTCAGTTAAAAACAGAGTAGGGAGTTAGTAGATGGGGAGATGGAGGTATTGGGAAGATGGCGAGAATATTTTGAGGAACTTTTAAATGTTAAGGAAGAAACAGAGGCAGTAATTTCATGCACTGGTCAGGGAGGTATACCATCTTTTAGGAGTGAAGAAGAGCAGAATGTAAGTGTGGGGGAGGTACGTGAGGCATTACGTAAAATGAAAGGGGTAAAGCAGCTGGAACTGATGGGATCATGACAGAAATGTTAAAAGCAGGGGGGGATATAGTGTTGGAGTGGTTGGTACTTTTTGTTTAATAAATGTATGAAAGAGGGGAAGGTACCTAGGGATTGGCAGAGAGCATGTATAGTCCCTTTATATAAAGGGAAAGGGAAAAAAGAGACTGTAAAAATTATAGAGGAATAAGCTTACTGAGTATACCAGGAAAAGTGTACGGTAGGGTTAAATTTGAAAGAATTAGAGGTAAGACAGAATGTAGGATTGCGGATGAGCAAGGAGGTTTTAGAGTGGGTAGGGGATGTGTAGATCAGGTGTTTACATTGAAGCAAATATGTGAACGAAATTTGAGAAAGAAAGGGAAGTTTTTATTGCATTTATGGATTTAGAAAAGGCATATGATAGAGGGGAAATAGAGGAGCAATGTGGCAGATGTTGAAAGTATAAAAATGGGTGGTAATTTTTAAATGCTGAAAAAATTTTTTAAAGGAAAGTGGGGGGCCTCGGGTTTTAGGGTGTGTAGAAAAAGAGGGAAAACTACTTCCCCGGGAAAAAAGTGGGTTCTTAGCGGGGAAATGGTAATGTCACCATGGTTTTTTAATAAAATTTATAGAGGGGGTTGAAAAAGGAAAATGCTAGGGTTTTAAGGGAAGGGGGGTTTAAATTATGGGGAAAAAAATTAAAAATTTGGGAAATTTGACACAGTTACTTTTTTGCTGATGAACTGGCTTATGGGAGATTCTAAAAAAAAAATTGAAAAGGGAAAGGGGAAATAAATTTGGGGGAATTGTGTGTAAAAAAAAGAAAGGAAAGTGAACAAAAAAAGTTTAAGGTAAATGAGGGTTTAAAAGATTTAGATAAAAAAAATTTTGGATAAAAAATTTTGGGGAGGGGAGTTTTGGAAGAAGTAATTTTTTCAGATATTTGGGATTTTGACGTGCGGCGGAGGGGATTTATAAAGGGAAATGGGGTTTAATCTTTAAATTAAAGAGGGAAAAAAGGTTTAGGGTCGTTGGGGTTATTTGGAGTAAAAAAAAACGTTACCATGGAGGCAAAGAAGGAAGGGTAAAAAAAATAGTATTACCAACACCTTATATGGGTGTAAAATTTGGGGGAAAATGAAAGCACGAGGAACGGTTGGGGGGCACGTAAAATTCCTTTTTTAAGGGGAAATGTGTGGTGAAAATTTTAATATGCGAAAATTGGGAGGGGTGGAAATTGGGAAGAAGGGGGGAGTTAATAAAAGTTTAGTCAGAGGGCAGAAGGGGGTTTTGTTGAGGGGGTTTTTGGGTAAATTTAGAGAGAATGGATCACAGTAAAAATGACTTTAAAAGCATATAAACCCATAGGGAAGGGAAGGCGGGGTGGGGGGTGTCCTCAAAAGGGGTTTGGAGGAGGGGTAAAGGGTTTTGTGGTAAGGGGTTTGGGATTTCCAAAAAGCGGCGTGAGCGTGTTAGATAGGTGAAGGGAGACGAAGGGAAAATTGGGGACCTAAACATCTGTTGGAGTGGGGGAGCAGGGTACTATTTAGTGAAGGATTCAGGGAAACCGGTTTTTTTCAAAAGGTGGGATTTGAGTCCTGGAAAGGGGAAAGGGACAAGGCCTCATTTTTAAAGGGAGGGGTTTTGGGGATTTGGCATTTGGGGGGAAATATGTTGTTTTATCTTTTATAGGGTTTATGCTTCTAGACTGTTGTATTCTGACACCTCTGAAAAAAACAGTGATAATTCAGTGTGGTGAAAGTGTTGAATGATGATAAAAGTATTTTTTTTTTGGGGGGGTTTTCTTTTTTTGGGGGGGGGGGGCACCCTGCCTCGGTGGGAGAAACGGCCGACTTTTTAAAAAAAAAAAAAAAAAAAAAAAAAAAAAAAAAAAAAAAAAAATTTACACTGTAAAACCAAATGAATCCAATCTATTTTGACTCCCTTTCAAAACCATTTTTTTTAAAAAAAGACTTTGCACAACAAGCATTTTTTTGGCAACGACATTTTGCTTTTTAAATGCAGATTTTTTTTCGGGCATTTTGAAATGCATGCAATTTTTATTTCTTTTTTTTGCCTCCCCATTGGTTTTTTCGCCCCCAAACCGAAATAACAGTGGAAGATGAGGGGGAAATTAATGCAACACATCGCCCCCCAGGCTGAGGATCTGGAAAACCCCTAAAACCCTCCTCCTCTTCTTCCACTCTATTGAACTGATGAAGCCATACACAAAAAAACCCCACTAAAAGAGAAAACTTACGACACTTTGGTCCGATTTGGCCCAAATTGACAAATCACACTGTGTGAGGGGGTCGGGGGTCCAATTGGGGACCGAAACGTTGTCGTAAGCTTCTCTCTTTTATTGGGGGTTTTATTTGTTACCCTTTTTCCAGTCACGGTATTGTTTTTTTTTTGTTATTTATTGATAAAAGCCACTGGCGGGTTTGAATTTTTCCTTGATAAAGTTTTTCCAGTTTGCACAAGGGGTCTCATTCTTAAAATTTTTGGTTTTTTAAAACCATTTCCATTTTTGTAATTTTAATTTTTAAAATTTTGGGCCCCAAAAGGGCCCTCCGCATGAAAGGGGGGTTTTTTGGGGCTTGACACCCAACTTTTAAATTTTTTTTTGTACAACCATTTCATATCAAAATAAACTATTTTTTAAAATTATTTATTATTATTTTTTATTATTTTATTAATTATTATTTTATTATTGCCAAATAATGGAGCTAAACACATAACAAAACTTTGGAAAAGCACAAAAGAAAGCACAAATTTATGCATTTATAGCATCGTGTGCAATAAATGCCCTTTTTTTTAAGATAAAGGGAACATGATCTTTTTTTTTAAAGTGACTTTTTAAAAAGGAATATAAAAAAACAATACCAAAAACGCCCTCCCTCTTTTTTTTCCTCCCCTTGGGGTCGCGTGCCTAAACCCCCTCGCCTATATACGCTGGCTCTTTTCACTCTTGGTTAGGGGGTGCTTTGTAAAGGGCCCAAGTTGGACCCAAAATTTATTGTCCGTAAGTTGTTTCCCCTATGTGCGTGTTATTTGTGAAAAGGGGTGCCTTTTTAATTGTGGAAATTGTTTTTTTTCTCCATGGGGGGGGGGAAAGCCATAAGGGCAGATTGTAAAGGAAATATTTTTTTCTGCATCCAAAAGCAGTGGTACGCACCGGGTTTAAACAATGCTGTTTTCCTGGCGGGAGCGGGACTAGTTTACAACCTCCATCCATAAAGTGCACTTGTCTTCCCCATATAGTTTAAGGTGAGTTAGGTGTCCAGCAACAGAGGGGATTTTTCCAAACAGGGGGAGTAAATTTTTTTCTCTAATTTGTTCCCAAAGCTTTTAAATTTTCATTTTTAAAAAAACCCTTCCTAATGCAATGTTGATTGGGGTTGATTGCACAAGCAGTTTCATTTTTATTATTTTTTTTTGTTTTTGTTTATATAAAATTGTTGCGGAGTTTTGAATTTAAAGTTTTCCACTGTAATTAAATTGGAAATGGATTTGCACTATTAGCAGATAATTACCCCTTTTTAAGTATGTCAAAAATTTGTTAAAAAGTTTTTATTTTCTGGGGAAAAATTTTAAAAATAGAAAAAATTTTTTTAGAAAATTCGAAATGCCTTTTTCAAAAAATGAAAACAGAAAACAGATTCAAGATATAATCTCATTTTTCCCCTAAAAAAATTTTTGCTATCAAATTTTTATGTTTTTTTTCTTTCGCCTTTCCATCCCCCCCCCTATGGTTATTTATTTTGTACCCCCCTGCTGCTTCTCTCCCCCCCTTTAGCTTCCATCCGAAGGTAAACTAGACTGGCCCATAAATTTCTTATGAGAATGTTAGCAGGTTATTTAAAGCCAAAGTCATGCTTCACTGTAGAAAATAAAACAGGGATAAGGGAAATCAAGGGGACTGAATGCCCCTAACCTCATTCTTCTGCGGGGGCCTTCAACTCCATTTCACCAACCACCACCATCCGGGGCCCCGTTTTTTTTGTTTTTTTTTCAGCTAATATTCTCAGATTTCACAGCGTATGGCTGGGTCACGAACAGGACGGGGAAATACAGGCCACGAGGGGGGAGCCCAACGAGGGGAAGCAGAGCATCACGACCAACGGGGCCCGGCAAACCCCAAGGAAAAGTCATCCCTTTCCCTGGGAAAAAACATGTCCAGTGTTGTTGTTTTTAGGTTTTGCTTTTTCCTTTCCCAGGTTTAGGTTTAAATATTTTTTTTGGGTTTTTATTTAAATTAATTATAATAAATTTTTAAAAGCGGGCATTTAAGGAAAAAACATTCCTTTTGGAATTTTGGGGAAAATTTTAAAAACCTTTAAAATCACAAAATAATATTTTAATTCAGTGTAAACTAAAAAAATTTTTGGAACTGAAAAACGATATTTTGGGTGATGGCTCAGACACTATTTTTAAAAAGAAACTCTCCCCCTGAACACAGAAATGGCTTCCCTCTGGCCCCGGGAAGTCGCTCAAACAATTTGTGGAAAAGGGGGGCCACTCAAGACCTATTTTACATGTGTAAACACATTTTCTAGACGCTTGACTACCCCCGTTTTTTATTTTATTTTTTTGCTCCCGCTGCCCTTTTAAACTGGGCTACAATCTTGAAGTTTTTTTTCAAGGCGTGTGGAAACCCTACTTCCCCGCAGCTTTTTGGAAAGCTCGCTCACTCCCTCAAGAATTAAGCTCAGGGAGTGAATCAAAAGATTTATAAAAAAATTTAAAATATTTATTTTACTTTTCCTCCTTAAATATCCAAAAAAAAAGAAAAATTATTAAACTTTTATTTATACCAAAAAAATTACTCATAAAATGCCCTTAAATGCCTCCAAAATCTGGGAAACATGCAAGGCAATTTTTTGAACTTTGGGGCAATTTTATATTTCTGAAAAACTTTTAAATCAAATTTTTGTTCCATTCCCCCGCATAATGAAGGTATTTAAGGAAAAGGGAAGGGTTTTAACACAAAGAATGCCTTGTCCTTTCACGTAATCCCTGTTATCCGTTCCCGAATGGGATGTTATTTCCTTTTCCCCTAAAAAAAGCTGCATTCGTCTTCTAATACTCCCCTCTCTTTCTCTGGTTTTCCCCGATGGTGCTTTTTTAATTCCTATTATTTATTTCTCAACTTCATGAAGTGGGGAATCATTACAAGGATGCTCCGTAAAAACCCCCATGGAACACAACTCAAAGTTAAATTGGGGCGTAAATTTTAGTCCCCTTCCGGGTCCTCTTTAGCAGAAAAAGGATCCCAAAAAGGGGGTCGAAAAAATGCAGACCAATTAATCTGATTTGTCTCCCTGTGGGGCAATTTTCTGAGCACTGACAAGCAGTTAACCATCGCAATTTGGGGGCAATTCAACAGCAACATGCCAGTTCAGGTTCCCCCCAAAAAACTTAAAATGGTTTTTAAAACAAATCTTTAAAATTTGTATAAAAAAAAGTAAATACTGTGTATTATTATTTCACTCCTCTTGTTTAAAAAAGCATTTTTGGCAGGGCCAAACCGAGGGATGACTGTATAACACTGATCAAACCCGGCCCCAATGGCCTTTGCATAGTCCCTGAAACCATGTGGGAAATGCTTATAAAAATTTGCATAAAATATTAAGCTAAGGAAAAACAGAAAATTTAAATTTAAAATTTTAAATTTTTAATATTTTATTTCTCTTGGCAGTACAAAGATAAGTGGTTTAAATTATTTTTAAAATTGTGGGCACAAACAAGGCCCCCTAGTATGCATTTTATATAAGTTAATTTTTTATGGGTAAAAACACATCGTAGTGGGTTTTGTGTCCCTTTCCACATGTTAAAGGGTTTTGAACTTTTTTTTTGTCCTTTTTTTTTAAAGGGAGGAGGGAAAAACTAAAAGGGGATGAAACTTTTTTGTAAATGCCCCGAACATTCAGGTTTTAAAATTTGAAAAGATCTTTCATACCCAAACCAAAATAAAAAAAAAAGAGAAAACATAACAGTGGACCCCCCCCGGGTTTAAAGATAAATTTTTTCCCCTCCAGAAAATGTTCAGGTGCCAGTAAATGACCGAATTTATTCCCATAAAGGAAAAATTGTGAAGTAATTAAAAACCCCTTTTAACCCCCCAAAAAAACACGTACAAACGCACTTACATAAATACCACTTACTAATTTGGTCGCATTCGGAGGGGATCCCTATGCGGGGGGCCCCCTGTATAGACTGGAAATTCCCGATGAAGATCTCTGCATTTTGATGTTTTTAGTTGAGGGGCCTCAGAATAAAATTTTGAAAAGGAACCTCAGTTGAAGGTTTTAAAATAAAGTGGGCATCCCCATCTTTTATTTCTGTTTTACTTCAGTTTTTGTCAATTTTATTTACTAATATTTTTTTATATTTTGATTTTGTACGATAAATACCAAAATATTTTCTCGGGGAGCAGGGAAGGGCAAAATTTATAACAACACCCGGGCTAAAAAAATTTTAAAATTTAAAAAAAGATTTGCCATTCTCAAGTTGGTTTTTTGCTGTGGGTATTGTAATTTTAATTTTTTTTTGGGGGGGAATAAGGGGGGAAGGGGAAAATTTTTAAAATTGTGATGAAAAAAAGTAGATGGTGTTCAAAGGGATCTGTGGAAAAAAAGTTAATCTATGGTGTAAAAGGGGAAAAGTTTCCAAAAATATAGTGGTACCCACCACTTTTTTAAAAAGGAACCTCAGTACCCCCCTTCCATAATTCATTCCCAAAGGGGGTTCCCCGGGGCCCACCGTTTGAGTATCGAACACAATTTTTTTTCCCAAACCCAAATTTTTTTTTTTGGTTGGGGTTATCACTAAAACTCTGTAGACCCCCATGAGACTTTTTTATCTAAAATATAAAAAAACAACCCAAAAAAAACAAAGGAACCCCACGAAATGTTTACAACGAAGTTCTAGAAAAACGATTTTTTTTGGTCCCCAGTTCCGACTTTGGGTTTAAATAAGGAGCTGTTTGAGTACTCTTTTTCCCTTATATGGGTTTTGGGATAAGTTTAAAAATGGGGTTTATAAAAAAAAGGCTGGAAAAGGGTTTTCTTTGAGAGCAATGGGATGGTTTTTTTATATTATGAAATTTAAAAATTGAAAGAATGGGGTGGGGGTTACCAGAGGGAAACTTTGAAAGGGGTTTTTGGGAGGTTTAAACCCCGGTTGTGTGGGCATTTTGAGAGGGAGAAGCAGAATAGGATGATCAAGAGGAAAGCAAAATAAAAGGGGAAAGGAAGAAGAGGGGAAGGGGTTTTCCCCCAAAGGGAAGGGGTTTGGGGGGAGGGAGTAAAGGGGGTTTTTTAAAAAAGGGGCCCGGGGCTTGGGGCATCCTGCAGGATTAGGCAAGCATTTCCTTGGAGTGTGGGGGGACAAAAAGGGGGGGGGGTTTTTTTTAGATTGACATACTGGGTTTCAGTGTAAAAAATTTGCAACATTTAAAAAGAATTCAGTTAAACCCGCCCCCCAGGGGCTTGGGGGTCCTGGAAAACCGGGACCTGAAGGGGTGGTGAAAGCAAATTTTTTTTTTTTTTGGGGCCCCTATACCTAGGCAAACGTGTTTATATGTTTGTATTAACCCCCGTTCCAAACCCTTTGGCCATCCCCACCCAATGACTTTGATGGAGGCAAGAGCTGGTTCTTGCTTCAAGTGCATTACAAAGTAGGCTCTTCAGTTTTGTATTAATCTCTGAGAGTAGTAATATCTCCTAGTGTCTGTTGTGCATGGTAGTTTGAAATCTTTATTGCTGTTATTATTATTATTATTATTATTATTATTATCATCACTGTCTGGCAAGACAGTGATAGTGTGAATGATGGTGAAAGCGTTTCTTTTTTTTGGGCCACCCTACCTCAGTGAGAGATGGCAGTGTGTTAAAATATTATTATTAGTAGTAGTATTAGTGAGGAAACACTGTCCATTAGAATCATACAGTGTCTGAGGAATGAGAGAGGTGGGAACTGACAAGGTTTAATGTGAGGATAGGAGGGTATATGTTTACATGCCTGTAGCTCCAGTTTCCTGGATGAAAAGCCCTTTGCCGGCATGAAGGCAGCCCTCTTGAAGGGTATCTCTGTGATATCTGACATGTCCAGTAGGCAGATATGTGAGTCATGTCTCCCTCGACCTGTGCTGGTGTTCATTTAGATGTACTGTAGGGCCCCACTTATACAGCAGGTTAGGTTCTGGGCTACTGTAG